CGACAGAGACCTCCACCAATTAATCGTGCCAATCCAACCCAATCTCTGACCGGATGAAAGAGGGAGCGAAGAGCACAGTACGTTCTGTGTCAGAGCCTGTACGAGAAGGATCGTTCAAAAGCCGCTGCGCGCGTCCTTTCTGGAGACTGGAAAGTAACCCCCACTGAGGTTGAGCCAGCTCATCTCTTTCCATTTTGGGAGGCACTATTCTCTAGACACATCACCGGACCGCCGCCCAATTCGTGACCGTGATCAAGTTAATGAGCAACTAGGGGACCCAATAACACCAGAGGAAATCCTTGTTGCTCTCAAGGCAAGTAGCAATGCTGCTCCCAGCCCAGACGGTATCACTATACGTCTACTTAAAGCTATACCAATCAGGATGTTTGCAAAACTGTTTAATCTGTGGTTGGTAAACGAATCCCTGCCACAACCTTCCCACAAGAATAAGACAGTGCTGTTACCCAAGAAGCCTAACCCAGACTCTCCTTCCCATTATCGCCCCATAATCATGTCATCTACAATAGTGAGGCTGTTCCATAAGATTCTGAGCAGCAGACTCTCCGAGGCAGTCAGGATCGACAGGCGGCAGAAGGCCTTCGTCCCTGTGGATGGATGTCCTGAAAACCTGGTGATCCTGGATGCCCTCCTAGTTGAGGCTAGTGCGCTCAAGCACAACACACACCTAGCGTTTATGGATATGGAGAAGGCTTTCGATAGCATCTCCCATCCGGCCGTCCATCGGGCCATGAAATGTAAAGGCATTGCAAAGCCTTTAAGGACATACATAATGTCGGGCTATGATCGGTCCTCAACCGTAATAATCAATCAAGGGGAGAAGTCGAAGGACATCCTAATCACTAGGGGGGTGAAACAGGGTGACCCCCTGTCTCCATTTCTCTTCAGCCTAATAACTGATGAGGCATTTACTAGGGCTAAGGACTTGGGGCTAGGGGTTGGACTAGGGGGGGAGGGCCAAAAAGATATCAGCACTAGCATTCACTGATGATCTGGTTGAGGCAGCAGAAACGACTGCTGGACTACAGACACTCATAAGTATTTGTCACACACTGCCTGGCTCTGGTCTTAAAGTAAATGCTGCGAAATGCCGTACGCTAAGCATAGCGATCGATGCACAACGCATGACGTGGCATGTCCCGACCAGGAAGGCATACTACGTCGGGGATGATGATATTGGTACTATGAGTGTGGTGGATGAGTATAAGTACTTAGGAATACTTATCGGGGCCGGGGGCAGACGCTTATCCTATGGTTCCTTGTTTGAGGACGGCCTGACGAACATCACTAAGGCGCCACTCTAACCCCAACAGAGGCTATACCTACTAAAACACCACCTAATCCTAAAGATGAACCACCGGCTTGTTCTCGGACGCATGTTTAAGACGGAATTAGCGAGACTAGACCAGCGGCTGCGGCTGCCTCATGATACTCCTAATGCCTATTTTCATGCTGACGTGAAAGACGGTGGACTAGGAATACCCGACTTTGCCACATGAATCTGCCTACAGAAGAACAAGCGGCTCGTGGCGTTAGTAGAGTCGGAGGATACAGTGGTAGTGGCAGCGGCTCTCCTACTAGCGTTCCAAGTGCGAATGCGTCGATGGGTAGACCCGACCACGGCCGCCGGAACCCCTTCTAACAGAACGAATGAGCGCTCTAGGAAATGGAAAGCAAAACTGTATAGCATGGTCGACGGTGCCAGCCTTGCGTCCTCTTGTGAGGTTCCATCTTACCACAAGTGGGTCGCATCCTGTACCCGTCTGCTAAGCGGAGGAGATTTTGCCCTAATCTGGATGGCATGAGCAAACGCTGTAGCCATGCCGTCTAGAGCAGCTAGGGGTAGACCCCAGGCTTCTGGTCTTTGCGATGCTTGCCGGAAACCAGGGACCCTGGGCCACATATCCCAGGCATGCCACAAGACACACGGGGCTCGGGTGAAATGTCATGACGATATCACCCGGTTCATACCCGGCCGCCTGCGGCAAAGAGGTTTTGAGGTGGAACGTGAAGTCCGTATACCGGATGGAGGGGCCTTCTGTAAGCCTGACATCATAGCTTACAAAGGTGATGAGGCCTTTATATTAAACACCCAGATCTCTGCTGATAACTTCCCACTCTCCCATCCACTTCAGAGCAAGTGCGACAAGTACGGCACCCCAGAGATCCTTCAAAATGTCAGTGAATATACCGGGAAGCACACAGCATCCACCTCTTCAATAACCCTTAATTGGAGGGGAGGATGGTGCAAGAAGAGTGCGCGTGGTCTACAGGATATGGGACTCGCCAAGAGCGACCTTGAGATTTGCTCTGTGAAAGCCCTGACCTGGACATATTCCATCTACAGAATATGGTCCAAGACCACATCTAGGGGCAGACCACCTTAGTCCCAAGATCACCGTGCACAGGGTGCATAAGGGTTAATATAGTCTAGATTAGGTGAACCACAGCTAGGATAGCTGGTAGCCAACTATCTAAGCAG